ATTGTAAATAGTGTCATATCATTTGTGAGTTCTGCAATAATTTCAGTCAAAGCCAGTGCAAGATATTGGAGGTGTGAGACTTACATGATTTATACACCGCTTTACACATACATTATGAAGGGATGTTTAATCATCAATGTTATTTTTAGTTGCTTACAAAATAGCCGTAATTGTCATTTTTTTCTCTGAAATCTTAAACATTCTCATGTAGTGTAACTTTAAAACCCAGGAGAAACAGCCTAGCCACTTCCTTTCAACAGCTGTTTTAGAATTCCAAGACCCCAACCCAACCCTTCTCTTCCCCTTCCACTCTCATTGTTAAATAAGCATCAAAATTATAGTTAAAATTCTTAAAATGTGTATTTCATGTTGTTTGGGAGCAACAAAGGTCCTCATAGTCGTAATTAGTGATCAATATAGCCTATTAGTAAAAAAAAAAAAAAAAAAGAAATTCAAAATCAAGATATTTTGAGATCTCACGCACATCTTACTTTCTTTATGAGAACATGGAAAGATGGCAATAGTTTAAAAGATCAATACTCTTACTCATCTTTGGATTTAGTTCCAAATACTGGAAGTGAATATGAATAATATTGATATATGAATATCATATATGAATATATGAATAATAATAATATGTGAATAATAGGTAAACATCAAAGGCATATTATACAAATTATACGGTTAGTGTACGAGAATTTGGTGATACTGCATGTACTTGATAGCTTTCATTGCTAATGCACAGAACCCCCCCGGAAAGACACTATGTCACAATTACACAATCTTCCTGTTCAAGACCTAAATAAGAAAGGAAAATTCAAAGAAGGAAAAATTCAAAACAAATAGTAGGGCCAGAAGATTTGGATAATCTGTTCCCTTTCTTTTCCTGCTCTAAAAGAAAAAAAAAATCCTTTTCTATTATTTGACCATGTATTTGAGCTTTGTGTTATAAATATGAAATGTGAAATGCAGCATCTCTGCAAGATCTGAATAAAGTATCTTACTCTCAGATAACCTAGGACCTTGATAGAGAAGGGCCTTTGTGAAGAGTAAATGCTTCAGTTCGATCCTTCTTCATTTATTTAAGAGCAAATATCCCACATGCATGTTAATGTTTATTATTCTAAAGGGGGAATTCCCTATTTCTAAACCAAAGAATTTTCAGTTTTCTTCCCCTCTCTTAAGCAGGTGTCTTTCCATATCTCACAAATCAAAAGGGAAGGTGAGAAGACAGCCTTTCAGTGGTGCCCTGATGTGTATTTTAATAAGTTTACTGATCAGAGCACATATAAATTAGAATGAATCATATTCATATATTTAATAGCAAAGAAAATTCAATTTAACTCATGTCCAGCTTTCTTTCATGTTCATTTTATTCAAGGGCATGTCTTCCTTTTTTTGCTTTTTTTTCTTTCTTTCTTTCTTGGACACCTCCAACCCCCATTGACAACCGAAATGTAGGGCTATAAATGTAAGGGTGCAATACATTATGAGATAAGTCCAGAGAACATGTCCTCTACCAAAATGCACATGAATCTTTGGTACAGTGAAAATTCCAGAATCGTTTGGGGGTTCATTTTGCATGCTAAGCAGGGTCAAAAACGTGAGCTTTATGTGGTCATCCTTATATATCAGATGAAGTCCAAAGTTTAAAGGTGACATTTGTGAAATTGCAGCTGGATTTCCTAGCACTTGATTCTAGCTCCTGCAAATCAAAGACTCTTAATTGAAAGACAAAGCTGACAATATGATCATCTTTCAATTAAATAAAAATATGACTTCTGAACCCGTATCTGTTGAAGAGCTGACATAGAAGTTTGGAGATGGTTGTTTAACCAGACAAAATGATAGAGAAAATATATTTTCCAACAAGATCATAAGGTTTGAATAGTGCAGGGAAACAAATGTAAACCAAAGGGCTGTCCTCTGTTCCCTCTACCAGCTCTAATTCCCCCACCCCCAGTTTGTACACTCAGCCACTCACCTTTAGGCAAGGGCTAGTGTCTTCCAAATTAGACTCAAACCCCAAATACCAAGACACTAGAAAGTGGCATCTTGGCATACTTTGAGATCAGGCGTTTTCTGCATTTCATGGTGTGGGGGGAGGAAGCAGCATACCAATGTAGTGAAATCTGGAAACAACAGCATATATACAGACACAAAAAAAAAGTTTGCATATTGCACAGAGCGCTTGAAGATCATAAATCTATGCATGAGAAAGATGTAGTGGAAATTTTGGGGGGGATTAGAGTTTATTTTTGTCATCTCTGTGAGACAGCTACTCATTCATCCAGATCACAGCTAAGAAAAAAGCTGGTCACAGAAATTAGCAGTTTCAGCTCAGCAGCGAAGTCGCCAGCCTGTGAAGGCAGAGAGAAATTGACTAATTAGCAATGCGCACTAAAACTTGACGGTTCTTTATAGAGAGAGAGAAGAGAGAGGGAGAGAGAGGGAGAGGGAGGGAGGGGGGGCTCGCTTTTTCCCCTTCTTTCTTCCAAAGATGTTTGAAATCGCAGTCATTTACGCTCGACAATTTTTACAATAGCCTTGAGCCATAATTTTGCGAGTCTCTCCAGCATCCATCCCCCTGTATGGTCTCTCTCTACTGGCCAAGCACGACCGTTTCTCTCCCCAACCGTGGATTTCCTATTACTCTCGTTACGACTCACTGAGCCCCAGGCCCAAGGATAATGATGTGTTGTTTCTTGGTAGCATAATTTGTCACACGTACATTTTTTCTTCTTCTTCTCTTGCAGAAAGCTCTGCTCCCTCTCTCTCTCTCCCTCTCTCTCCCTCTCTCTCCCTCTCTCTTTCTCTCTTTTCTCCCTCTCCTACATTTTCTTGCTGTTGCTAATTCATGGTGATCAAATGATGTACGACAAAATAAATTGTAAAGAGTGACTGCCTGGAGTTGGGAACCAGAAGGTGTTTTCCCCCTCCCAAGGAGAGAACAAACCTTTAAAAAGGAAGGACAATTGATTTTTGGGGGGGAGCTTAAGTGAGCCTTGACTTTGCAGCTGGTTGAAAGCAGGTAAGTTTCTGGCCTTGTGTCTGCCTTGCGTGTATTTTGTTCTGTCTTTTGGGTTGTTGGCGGGGGGAAGGGATGGGGAGGGAGTCTTTGGGGGGGGGGCGGTTAGTTGCCTGGCAAACGCTCATAAAGAATAAAACTCCTATTGCAAGATATAAGCAGATAAGGGGGAAAGGCAAAGGAGGAGAACAAGAAGGAAGGGGAACAGGAAAAGATGGGGGGGGAGCGAGACAACGAAGCGGGGAAAGCGAGAGAGAGGTATGACCGGGTCCACTTAAAGGGAGAGACTCTGGGAGATGTTTCAAGAAACCCAGATCTTTGGGGGCCGGTGGGGGAGGGGGTCCTGCCGGGGGAGGGAGCTCGAGGGAGGTTAGGGTCCACCTGGAACAGGATGGTAAAGTGAGTCGAGAGGAGCCCAGTGTGGTATAAATAGGAAACCGGCGATCCAGGACTGGCGCCAGGCAGGGCAGAGTGAGCCGCAGTGGAAGGGGCAGGTCCGGCGGGATCCCTCGGAGCCGAGCGGCGGCGGCGGCGGTGGCTCTCCCGGGCGGGCGGGCGCGCGGGCGGGATGTGGGCAGAGGGTCCCTTTCTGCTCGGCCCTGGAAGGTGCAATTACAGGTTAAGGACCTGGCGTATCGATTTTGCCTAGCCTCCCCCCCCATCCTGCCGTCCTCCGCCTAGATGCGGGCGGTTCAGACTTTTTTTACAGAAGTAGTTCCAGGGCCAGGGGAGTGGGGGGTGCCCGAGTAGGGGGTCGCTGGGGGTTTTACCGAGGGGCTCGTGGGGAAGCTGAGGCTTCACGCGGAGATGCTGGGTGGGATGCAGAGACCCTGCACGGAACCTACCCCCCCCCTCTATTGGACAGCCCCCACCCCCTCCCCCAACACCTGCCAGTTAACTTGAACTTCTCACAGTTACTGGAGTTAAAGCCACTGTTCCTGGTGCCTTGGAGACAGAACCTTTCACGTGAATCCCTCCGGGCCTCTGGGGTCCTGCTCTAAATCCACCCCAGTGGCCCCACTTCCTCCCTCCTCTTCTCCCCGGTGCCGCCCCGCGAGAGAAGGGGAGATACACGTCTGAACTTCCGCGCTTTGAAATGCGGGGGGCGGGAGAGAGGGGGTCGGGGGTGGGGGGCCGAAAGGATTCTCCTGCCAGGTTTAAAGGCGTCTCTGGAAAATTAGCAAAACTGAGTGGTGACGGGGAAGCCAACAGTTTGCGAAGCAGGCAAGCAGGCAGGGCCGGGGTGAGGGAAATGAGCTAGAATTGATAAGGACAGCTCCCGCCTCTGCCGAGTCCACTGAGCTGGTCCTCACCGCGCTCCACTGCACTTTCCCGGGAGAAGAAAGGGCTTTATCTGCTACCTCAGACTATTAGCCTAGGAGTTTCTCGGGGCAGCACGGATAATCGAAGGGGTTCCCAGCTTTTGGAGAGCTAAGAATCGCCCACCCGCACGCTTGTCGGGTCCCCTTTCCTACCCCCCAAACTGGACCAACTGCGAAAAGCAAAGCTGCAGGCACAAGTTGACCTGGAACCTCTGCCGACGGTCGCCTCTGCGCTCTCCGGGAAGCCCTGGCTCCCCACTCCCTGGCCTTTCCCTTTCTCAGGCCCGGCATGGACACAAGCCCACGAGGTGTCTCGGCCTCCTCCGCCACTTTGCCGTCGCTGCTGCCACCCCTGTCGCTGCCAAGAGCCGAGCCAGGGTGGTTTTAGGAAAGTGAGGGACGAAGTGTGTGGGCGGTGGCGAGAGGAGTAGCACGGAGCTGAACCGGCGCCCCGACCCCAGACAGGGCCCTTTTGGTGGCGCTCACGGATTCAGCGCCTTCAGACCTTACTCCTAGGGTCGGGGTCCTGGGGCGCGCTGGGCAGGAGCCAAGCTGAACACTGATTGTTGTCTTCGCCCTCCCCTCCCCTCCACACCCTTCCCCACCCCGACCACACCCCACCCCCTCCACTACCCTTCACCCCTCCCTCCCATCCCCCACCCCTGTCTGCCAGGTTGGAGGAGGGTTTAAAGCCAGGTGCGCCGAGTCAGCTCGCCATGTCCAGATCCGGGGACAGGACCTCCACCTTCGACCCCAGCCACAGCGACAACCTGCTGCACGGCCTCAACCTGCTGTGGAGGAAGCAGCTGTTTTGCGACGTGACCCTGACGGCCCAGGGCCAGCAGTTCCACTGCCACAAGGCCGTGCTGGCCTCCTGCTCGCAGTACTTCCGATCGCTCTTCTCCAGTCACCCCCCTCTCGGGGGAGGGGTCGGCGGCCAGGACGGCCTGGGGGCCCCCAAGGACCAGCAGCAGCAGCAGCCGCAGCAGCAGCCGCCACAGCAGCAGCAGCCGCCGCCGCAGGAGGAGCCCGGGACTCCTTCCTCCTCCCCCGACGACAAGCTGCTGACCAGTCCTCGGGCCATCAACAACCTGGTGCTGCAGGGCTGCTCGTCCATCGGGCTGCGCCTGGTGCTCGAGTACCTCTACACGGCCAACGTGACCCTCTCCCTGGACACGGTGGAGGAGGTGCTGTCGGTCAGCAAGATCTTGCACATCCCCCAGGTCACCAAGCTCTGCGTGCAGTTCCTCAACGACCAGATCTCCGTACAGAACTACAAGCAGGTGTGCAAGATCGCTGCGCTGCACGGCCTGGAGGAGACCAAGAAGCTGGCCAACAAGTACCTGGTGGAGGATGTGCTGCTGCTCAACTTCGAGGAGATGCGCGCCCTGCTGGACTCGCTGCCGCCCCCCGTGGAGTCGGAGCTGGCTCTCTTCCAGATGTCCGTGCTGTGGCTGGAGCACGACCGCGAGACCCGCATGCAGTACGCGCCCGACCTCATGAAGCGCCTCCGCTTCGCGCTCATCCCGGCCCCGGAGCTGGTGGAGCGGGTCCAGTCAGTGGATTTCATGCGCACCGACCCGGTCTGCCAGAAGCTGCTGCTGGACGCCATGAACTACCACCTGATGCCCTTCAGGCAGCACTGCAGGCAGAGCCTGGCCAGCAGGTAGGAGACAACAAAGAGGAGGGCGGGGGGTGGGGGGGGGAGCAGGAAAGGCCGGAGGGAGGGGAGGGGGGCAGAGAGGAGTGGGGAGAGGGGTGGGCTGCGCGCGAGGCTCTGGCGAGCTGAAAACAAACGCAAACAAACAATTCAGACTGTGTGGGGAAAGTTGATTTCGGACTCTCCGAAAGGTCAACAGGAAAGTGGCCTAACAGCATCCCTGAGCGCTGGAAAGCCCACGTTCCCAACATCCCCAGGGCGAGAAATGCGGGACTTGGGGGCTGAAACTGACAGGCAGGTGGGGCCAAAGGCCGGGGCAGTTCCCAGTGCCTCTCGGGAACCCTCTCTAAGCAGTCCTCCCTCCAAATCTCAAAATGAACTTCCTTGAGGAAAAGGATTCTGCAATGACAAGTCCCACCCCACTCCACCTCTTTCCTGCCTGGGGTGAGCAGGAACGCCCTGGCGACGCTCCACGAGGAGAGCTTTCATTCTTTCTGTCAGACACTCAAGGTCTGTTGTTGTTGTTGTTGTTGTTGTTGTTGTTGTTGTTGTGTTTAGTGACTGAGTCTGCTGCTCCCTTTGGAAGTTAGAGCTCCCAAACCTTTTGTCTCTTAGGGCCACTATCGGAAATTCTGGCATCACAGACCCAGGCAAACTTTCTGTCTTGTGGAAAGCCTTTCTTTTTCACTTTTAAAGGGGAGCAAAGCAAGAGGTTTCAGGGTGTCAGAGTGAATCATGCCTAGCAGCTCCCAGCTCTAAGGGGAGCACTGCTGACAACTGGGAGGAGGGGAGTCTTCTGCCTCTCCAGTTAGGTCCTTGTGCCAGCTCCGAAGTCACAAAGAAGTTGGGGACTTGCTGTCGCTCTCTGGAATGTGTCTGTGTGTGCTGCAAATAGGGTTTCATGTCAGAGGGGAGAGGGAAATGATGACTTTTTAAAATGTGACAGATTTTTTTTTTAACTTTGGAATCGACAGTCCTGTTTTATTGGCTCCAATCTTAAAACCCCTTTTAATGAGCCCTAGCAGAGCGTTTCTTTCTCTTTTTAAAAAAGAGAAGCAGTATCTTCTCAGTTTCTCATGATAAAACATCACGATTTCAGATGCCAGGCTACCCCAGCCTAATCCACTGGAGTGTTACATGGTTTAAAAATCCATCATGGCATTTTCCCATTCAGAAGGATGTCTAAAGTGGGGAAGGGGGGCCATTTCATGCAGCTTTGTGGAATTAAATATTTATTTTTTAGTCATGATGTTTCTACTAGACTCAGGTAGAAATGTAAGAAAAGGAAGATATTCTGTACAGCACTGGTGTTCAGGTGAGGCCCACGGAGTTATGGGAAACCTTAGACTTAGAAACCTTCTAAGTTGATTTTCTACTCTTATGTGAGAGATGAGTTAATGAATTGTGTCAATAAATGACAGTAGGACAATAGCACAAGCAAGAATTCAATCCCTTGTGTGCTTGAATAGTGAGCATAGGAGTCCAGGTGTGAAGAAGAACATGGAATGTACTTTTATTTTGTAAGAGTTTTTCATTTGCCTAAAGATCGAAACTTAGCGTAGTGGGCAAATGTTACCCTGCCAATGGGCACTGGTGATTAATATTCTGTTCTTAACTTTTATCAGTTTCAATAACTTACGAGTATACTTAACTTAGCATATATTATACATATTCAGGAATATATATACATATTCAGGAATTCAAACAACACAGTTATAGTCCTGAACATACATTTATTTGTATTTTTAAAAACATGTAAAATCTAATAGAAACGCAGAAACCCAGAGGGATAATAAGATTAAAGCTTAACTTGTTTTAAGAGTGATTTTGGGATACGAGCATTACAAATTTGATCTTATAAAGAATTTCTGAAGCCCTCAATGTACTTGTGCTTAATAAGTATGTTCTAGGGCTCAGTATTAGAACGGTTGACTTTCAAAATGCAAAATCCATTTTCCACCTTCGTCCGGATTCAGCATACCAGCTGGGGCCTGCTGGTTCTGTCCTGGTGGATGGCTGAGATACCAGGCTGCCTGGCTTGGTGATGACACCTTCCAGCTTCACTGGGCCATATCATTTGAAGGATATGTAGTGGCGTCTGACCACTAAATGCTTACAAGTGTCATGGATGCTGCAGGAATCTGATACTTCTGCGGTAGGAAGAAACCTGTATTTTTCTTTAAAAGCAGAAGATACACGGAAGAAAACAGTTCGTGTGAACCTGTTGTTGATCTCAAAGTAATGTAATTTAGCTTTTGTTCCATTATTGGAGCTGTGGCAATTTAATTTGGGGGGGACTAATTGCAGTACTCCAATTTTAATTTGCAGGAAGAATGTAAGATTAACCACCAAGATCTTAACTTTATTGTAGACAAAATGCTGGAAGTTGTAACCAATAGTATTATGTTGGCCCATTTATTACAGCATCAGCAGAATATAAAAATGTTCTCTCAGACTTACATGTAGTTTAACAGAAGGATTAATGTGCTAAACAATTGCTTATGCAAATGCATCACTTTCATTGAAGACAACTGAATGGAGAGTCATTGTATATATTACTTTTTATCCACCTATAGTGTTAAAGTCTAAACATGAAAGGAGTCTTCAAATTTAGGCAAGGAGTTGAAAAATTAAAATTGATTAATCTGTTGGAAAAAGTACAAAATATAAGGAAATACAATCACTTAAAAAAGAATTTATTTGTTTAAGAATACATGGTCATCTGTAGAAAGTAGGGCTTTAATGTAATAACAATATTTTAAATATTTTTGAAGATTATTAAGTAATTTTGAATTTTTATTACATCTAGAAAAATAAAGCAACCCAAGCCTGAAGACTTTATAAATACCCAAATTAATATTTAATTTTTGCTCTAGTTGCCTTAGTCTTTCTGAGTATGCCATTTATGCTTAGATTCATGTTTTATTTTAGCAAATTAAGCATAAGAACAATAAATTAAAAATAAAAGACGTACTATCTTATATTCAAATATATGCATAACTAATTTAAGAGAAAAGGACTTAAGGAGACAAAAACTAAGACATCCGAAGTCTTATTTCTTATTTTCTTTTTGTTTTATTGCAAGAAATATAAAACTTAAGAAATAAGTTCTTGAAAAAGTTTCTGGAAGAGTCATTTTTAAAGGCTTTTAAAGCATGAAAATTTGATTTAGTAAGTGACATCACATGCAATGTTTAGTACATTAATAAGTAAATATCAGAAGACATACAGTCTAAGTTTAGCCTAAACAACTCCAGAAGTTTCTTTTTTATTTGTATTTTTAAAACTTTAGTGCATAATTTAGTAGTTGTTCAAATAAGTCAATTTGGCCTGGATTCATTAACTTCTTCTTTACATTTTCATCGCATCTCACATAACTTAGCAGTTAAATAAATGCTTATTGAAAGTTGAAAGCATTGAGATTATAAAATAAGAAAGCTTCAGTGTTGCACTTCACCAATATGCTCCTCGATTGCACATAACAAAAATCCACGGAAGCTTCTACAGGAACACACCTGTAATAGAAAAGCATTGGTGAAAATAATCATATTATTTAAAACATTCAACCACCAGCTATTACAGTCCCATGTACAGTCCTATACTGAAGTGTAGTTTTCCAGAGATTATATTTTACAGAAGAAAGCAGGCTACCTTATAAAGATTTCACTCTCTAAAAGAGTCTATTTAAAGATTTCATATAAATTAATTTAAAAATCTACTTAAACATCAGGAGCACAATTATCTATTGGCTAAAATGACTTGTAATGATTAAAAAGCCATTAAATTTCCTAATACACAGTTTTGATTCCTGGCCTTGGTGCTTAGAAAGCGTTTCTTTAAATGTAGGACTATATTTTCTATCAGTTCTCTTCCTAAGGCCTGAATAACAACCTTAGCAAAGCAAACTAATCTTGTATCCATGTATTCTCTAAATTGTTACTTCCCTTTATATCAATTTGATACCCTCAGATTAGAAGTTGTTAGGTAGTTAGATTTTTGTATCAGAAGTTACCCAACCATTCAGAATACAATTTGTTTATTATGTGAAACAGGACCATTGATTATTTTCACAGGACCTGTGAAAATTATATCACAGGTATGGGAGCCAAATAGTTATATCCTACAATCAAAAGGCAATTAGAGCAGATATTAATGTGTTGTATTGGCTTAGAGGATTTACTGACAAAAGTAGACATGTTCAAATTTTAATTCATATCTTGTATTTTTTCCGTATTTATGAACATGTTGAGGTTCACTCATTACCTTAGCCAATTTCCAAGTATCTCTATTTTCTTAACTTAAAAATGAAGTAAAAAAATACATCACTTTATTTACAACAGCTACTTTATACCAGAGGATCTTCTAAGCATTTTACAAATATTAACTTATTTAATGGTCAAACAGCCCTAATGGATGAATGCCAGCATTAGCCTCATTCTATAGATGGAAAAACTGGTACACAGAGAAGTTAAGCATGTTGCCCACGGTTGCACAGCTGCTTAGGGTTAGAACCAAAGTCTGAGCCTGGGCATTGTGGCTCTGGAGTCTGTGTTCTCATCCACAGTTTTCCACTTCTTGCTATGAGCCTCTCTGTGCTAGGATATGATCTAGTGATCGTCCTTAGTATTATATATAGACTTAAGGCTATCCTTTTGGAAAGAAACTTGTGAGGGTTAAATATTAATGTGTCTGACTTTAAAAGAAGTTAAGGAAGGGTATTTGTTCTAGGCCTGGAGTCAGAATTTTTTTCCTGTAAAATACCAAATAGTAATTCTTTTTGGCTTTAGGAGTCACACAATCTTTGTTAAAACTACTCCACTCTTCCCTTGTGGCACAAAAACAGGACAATACGTAAATGAATGGGCATGGCTGTGTTATAACAGGACATCAGTTATGGGCACTGAAATTTTGTAAAATTTTCACATGTCATGAAATATTCTTCTCCTTTTGATTTTTTTCCCCACCATTTGAAAATGTAAAAAACATTCAGGAAGGAGGGCATATAC